AGGAGCTAGTGATCGGTGACAATTAACATGAAGTCAGGTGGGGTAGGATGGTGGTAGGAACTGGGGTAAATTAGAAGGGATATGTTTCCTTAGAAGGTACAGCCTTTCTCTGCACCTTTTGGTGGCTGCCAGTTGAGTCTATGTGGCTAGATCTTGAGATGTTCTAAGAAAAGCTATATGTCTGATATTGGATGTGAAAACTCCAAGGTTTTGTTTGTTTGTTTGGTTGGTTGGTTGGTTTTTTGAGACAGGGTTTCTCTGTATTGATTTGGAGGCTGTCCTGGAACTCGATCTGTAGACCAGGCTGGCCTCGAACTCACAGAGATCCTCCTGCCTCTGCCTCCCGAGTGCTGGGATTAAAGATGTGCACCACCAACACCTGGCAAAAAACTCCAAGTTTTAAATGTGGTTGAGATGTTGAAGATGGTGTGGGATAAATCCAAACAGACCAATAAACATGAACGGACTACAGGAGGTTTGCTGGGTAAGACTAGCCTGTAGTCAAAAAGTGTACCTCACAGACCTCAGACTTTCTTGATCTCTTCAGTCTGGACAGTCCTGTCTTCTCTAGTGTGAGTGTGTGTGTGTGTGTGTGTGTGTGTGTGTGTGTGTGTGTGTGTGTGAGTGAGAGAGAGACAGAGACAGAGACAGAGAGAGAGAGAGAGAGAGAGACAGAGAGAGAGAGAGAGAGAGACAGAGAGTGAGCCACAGTTTCATGCGTGTTAGCGAGCAGCCCAACAACTGACCGGCATCCCTAGACCACAGCTCTTCTACTTTTTAGCTGTGTGATGTTGAGTAAATGACTTCATCTTTTTGTTTTCTTTACGTGGAAGATAGGCATGACAGTGCCTGTTTCTTTAAGTTGCAGAGAGGACTGGGTGGGTCTTTTGATTGACAGGCAGGAGCTGTCAGGAAAGGAGAACTAGTCTCCCATGCATCCATCTCTGAATCAGGCTAGTCCAGGAGTTAGCTTGAAGAAGGAGAGGCATAATTAGCCTCTGGTTGTCCAGTTCCAGTGAGGCCCTGTGTCACCATGACACCGTGTGCTGGTGCATTCAACTTCATTCTATACCTTCAAACAAAAACAAAAACAAAAAGCAAAAACCACCCAGCCACAGTATCTATCTCAGTGACTGAAGTACAGAGCAGGGACAATACTGAGAGCTGCCAGGGATCCTGGCTCATTCATGCCAGGAGCAAGCCCTCTGGAGAGGAGAGTGGCGATTTCTTTAAAACTAACTGGGGCAATTACCAGATCACCTGACAGTTGTGCTCTGAGGACATTTGCCCATGAGAAATGAAAACGTATCCTTACACAAAAACCTGTCCATGAATTTAATAGCCACAAACTGGAAACACCCCAGATCTTTTCCAGTAGCTGGATGGGGAAACAAATTAGTGTGCAGTGGAATACTGGATAGCAATAAAAAGGAGTAAAGTGTTGACCCGTGTGGTAATTGGGATGACACTTAAAGGAATGGTCCTGTGGAATGAAGACAGCCAGGCCTCACATCTTATTTGCTTTCTCCTCTTGTTCCTGTAGTGTTGTTTGAATAAAAGTCTAGAACTGGCAACAGATTAGTGCCAAGGGCTGGGATGTGAATGGGCTTGGGGTGCTTAGGGGAGCTGGGGGATTGCCGGGAGGGGTGCTTGTAGCTGGGGAGCAGTTGATATTTTACTGTGGTGGTATGCACTGAAAAAATTACTGTAGAGGAAACATACAAATAAGAATCTGTAACTGGGGAATGTGGATTAAAATTGGTGGGCCATGTCCCTGTTCTCAAAATAAAAAGTTAATTACAAAAGGATTGTAAGACTTTTTAAAAGATGCTATATTTTATTTTTTGCAGCTTTAGGGATTGATCCGAGGTTTCATTCATGCCAGGCAAGCGTTCTACTCCTAAGCTAGAGCCCCAGGGTTTCTTGTTGTCTTTTCTTTCATCCCCCTTTTGGTTTTTCTAGACAAGGTTTCTCTGTGTAGCACTGGCTGTCCTGGAACTCACTCTATAGACCAGCCTGGTCTCAAACTCAGAGATCCACCTCCCCAGTGCTGGGATTAAAGGGTTGTGTCACCATAGTGGTCCTCCCGCCCTCCCTCCTTTCTTCCTTCCTTCCTTCCTTCCTTCCTTCCTTCCTTCCTTCCTTCCTTCCTTTCTTTCTTTCTTTCTTTCTTTCTTTCTTTCTTTCTTTCTTTCTTTCTTTCTTTCTTTCTTTCTTTCTTTCTTTCTTTCTTCCTCCCTCCCTCCCTTCCTTCCTTTCCTTTCCTTTTGTGTTGTTTGTTGCTTGTTTGTTTAATTTATAGCCAGGGTCTCAGTAAGCCACTTAGCCTGGCTTTGAACTCATTCTATCTCAGACAGGACTAGAACTTGAAATCCTCCTGCCTCTGCCTCCCAAGTAGCTGGGATGACAGGATGCCACCAGACCCAGAAACTCCAAGTTACTTAAAACCAAAACCAAAACCAAACTAAAGCAAAGAGTATGAAAGCCAAGCAGTGTGTTTCCTGTTGAATCTTGTTCTTGGTTTATTGACAACTGAGATTAGACCCACTTAGACCCCTGGAGCCTTGACCCTGCCACACTGTCAATTTGTTTCCTCTCCAGCTGCTGCTGGCTTATCTTCTGGTTTCAGGGATTGAAGGCGATGGGCCATTTGACTCCTAAGGGGCTGGCATGGAAATCCCTGATGTTTGGCCTTGAAGGAAAGGCAGTCTAGAGGGAGGATACTGAAGCAAAGGACCCAGAAGATCATCAATGTCTTCCTGAAGTTCAGGCTTGTTTGATTTCCCTTAGAAGGCACCTTTGTTTGTTTTTTGTTTTTGTTTTTCTGTGGCTTTGGAAGCTGTCCTGGACTAGGTCTTGTAGGTCAGGCTGGTGTCGAACTCACAGAGATCCACCTGCCTCTGCCTCCCGAGTGCTGGGATTAAAGGTGTGCACCACCATTGCCCAGCTAATTTTTTTTCATCCCACAGATGTGGACCCATCCATCTTTTCATGTCTCCCAACAACTGGAGACAGCTTTGCCTGGTGGGTCGAGGGTGCTCTGTATTCACGCCTCCACCCATCCCTTCTTCTTTGCTAGTAGATGTGCAACCTTAGCCAGCTCCTTTATTCTTGAGTACCCTGGGGATTCTGGGAGGTTATAGAGCATTTTGCAGATGGGAATACAATCTTCGAGAGGTTCAAGTGATTGTTGAAAGACCCCTTTCCTTTGCCTCGGAGAACCCAGGGTCTGTGGTGATGTGAGGCTTCAGTCTCTGAGAGCGGATGTAGGTTCTTTTCCTTTGAAGGTTCTCCAAGGTGTGTATGTGGGAGAGACTTCAGCCGAAAGTTTCCAGGTCTAATAGTTCAGCAGTTAGTAAACTTTGGAGTCTGGGGAGTACTTTAATCCTTGAAATTCAGGCTCCTAAAGATCTTTTGTTTATGCAAATTGTTTTTTCAATGTTTTTGACTTTATGAGATAGTTCCACTGCATAGCTCAGGCTGGTCTCAGGTTGGTGAAGGTGCTTGCCAGCAAGACTGGTGACCTGGGTTTGATTCCCAGAACCCAGAACATGATGGGATGAGAACTGACTCCAGCAGGTTACCCTTTGACCTCCACATGTGCGTCACCAGGGTGCTGTGTGCCACAGTACAGAAGTAAACTGTAAGAAAGCATAAATCTATCATATGTCATAGCCATGCTGAACATTTTGATGAAAAATAAACTGTCCTAAGACAAACAAGCAAAAATAGTGAGGAAGAGAGTTGCCGTTCAAGTTTTGCACATCTCTCTCTGTTGGGCTTTGCCCTGAGTGTCTTAAGTCACCTGTTGTGTAGCGTTAGGACCTTCACATACTAGGGACAGAGTGACAGCAGAAAAGGTCAGCAGGGTCTTCCTCCATTTATGTAAATAGTTTTGCTTTGTGGAAGCCATGATAGGGCCTCAGGGGTTCCTCCACAGGTGCCTGGGTGGACTTTGAGGGCCACCGCAGCCTCCCTTCCATCCTCCTGTTATTTCTGGTCCTGTTTGTCCATCCTCAATAGGGAGGCTCCTGCATTCGTGCATCTGAGGACTTGTTTGTTTGCTTGTTTGTTTTGAGACCAGGTCTCTCTCATGTAGCTCAGGCTAGCCTCAAATTCACTGTGTAGCCAAGGATGACCTCAAACTTGTGATGCCCCTGCCTGTACTTGCTCAGTGCACAGATCACAGGCATTCACTTCCATACTCTATTTATACGGTGCTATGGATCGAACCCTGACTTGGTTTCTGCCAGGCAAGGAACAAGCCAGCTGAACCCTATTTTCAGCCCCCAGGGCTTTTATTTGAATGCTGCACAGCCTGGGGTTTCCTGGGTTAGGTCACCCCCATGCTGTCCTGAGCCCCAAGATGTCCTCTGCCTCCAGTGTCACAAAGCTTATTCCTTGAAGTAGGATCCCTTTGTACAAGAAAGCTTCAAAGATGATGCTGTTGTTAGCTAACTGTGGCTTGAGAGGTGGGCAAGCACCATCATGCAGCAGAACTTTCTGGAATAACAGAATGATCTCGTATCTAAAATGGGAACCACTAGGAAATGTGCACTTAGATGTGACTGTGAAACTATACAGTTTTACTTCAATTAATTCAAATATATGTGACCACCACTACCTCAGGTCACAGCAGAGCCAGGCCTTGCTGGGACTCACACACCACTCTTAAGAATCTGCACTTTTAGCCCGGTGGTGGTGGTGGCACATATCTTTAATCCAAGCACTTGGGAGGCAGGGGCAGGTGAATCTCAGTGAGCTGGAGCCCAGCCTGGTCCACACAGGACAGCCAGTACTATTACACAGAGAATGCTGTATCAAAAACAAACAAACAAACAAAACAGCAACAAAAAGCACTTTTGCTTTTGGCACAAATGGAAAGAAAACCTCAAGGGAGTTTTGAACTCTGGTCAGGGTGGTCGGGTGGTTTTCTATACCCTGCAATGTGTATTCTCGGGGCTGACCAGTTCATCTGTGTGTCTGTCTCCCCTCTCCAGGCCCCACCATGAGGCTCCAGCCCCTCGGGAGCCCCCGCGCTCCCCTGGCCCCGGGTGCACCGTGCTAGCCCCAGGCAGGGCAAGGGCAGGTGCAGGGCCATGGCCAGCCACGTGGACCTGCTAACGGAGCTGCAGCTGCTGGAGAAGGTACCTACGCTTGAGCGCCTGCGCGCAGCCCAGAAGCGCCGGGCACAGCAACTGAAGAAGTGGGCGCAGTATGAACAGGACCTGCTTCATCGGAAGCGCAAGCACGAGCGGAAGCGCAGCACGGGTGGCCGTCGCAAGAAGGTGTCCTTTGAGGCCAGTGTGGCACTGCTCGAGGCCTCACTGAGGAACGACGCCGAAGAAGGTAAGGCCCCCTGCCCCAGAACCGGGACTGTGCAGGAGCAGGCCCCTGAGGTCAAGTGTGAACCACCCCATCAGTCCACATTAGGAAGAGATGGCCCCCACCTCTGAGACAGTCTCATTGTAGTCCTGGGAGGCAACCGAGTACGGCCTCTAACTTCGGATCCTCCTACCTCCACCTCGCAGGAGCTGGGGTTGCAGGCCTGTGAGGACCACACAGTTCTCCAACCCCCAACCTTGGCTTTATCTTAGCCCGCTATTTTCATTGTTGGAGACAACGAGTCCAGCTTTTGGCTAATGAATACAATAACAGTTTCCCTTCCCTCCCACAAATATTTACTGACAGCCTGCTTCCTGCAGCACTGGCACTCTGTGCAGAATAATGAACAAGTGGAACCGTCCCTCCCTCCACCCCAATAGCTGGTACTCTAGGATGTTGTTGCGTTTCTGAAATCCTCCATGGTCCTCACTCAGCCTGTGGCATGCTGCTCTGGCGTCTTCTCTTTCGTGCTGGAAGGGAACACTGTCACAGGACCAGTCCCCAACTCTGTTCTCAGTTCTCTTTCCACTGCCATGTCGGTGCTGGAAGGTGCTTAAGAGCTAGACCCTGGGGGCTGGTGAGATAGCTCAGAGGTTAAGAGCACTGACTGCCCTTCCTGAGGACCTGGGTTTGATTCCCAGCACCCCCATGGCAGCTCACAATCAGCTGTAACTCCAGTTCCAGGGGATCTGACCTCCCCAGGCACCAGACATATGTGGTGCACAGACATACATGCAGGCAAAACACCAATACACATAAAATAAAACTGGTAACATTTTAAAAATGTATCTTGACCCTGGAGGTGGACAACCTGGCTCTGAAATTGACTGTGCAGGTTCCCATGTGACCCTGGCACAGAGACGTCCTTTTGTTCTCTGTCCTTAGACTCTACTTGTCCAAAATGGGGGAGATCGTAGCATCCTCGTAGCCTTGTGAGCATTCAGTTGAGTAATACCCATGAAGTTATCTTTAAACAGGGCCCATCATGTTAAGTATGTGGTTATTAATTTTTAAAAATTTTGCATTTTGAGTTTGAGACAGGCTCTCAGGTAGCCCAGGCTAGTCTCTGTGTAGTTGAAGATGACCTTGAATTCTTAATCCTTCTGCCTCTGCTTCCCAAATTCTAGGATGGCAGGTATGAGCCACCACAGCTGATGTATCAGTATGTTTTATTATATTGTTACCTTTTATTTCTTTAAATGTATAGTTTATACTATCATGGAGGTCTATAAATCTGGAAGCAGAGACGGGTACACACCACATTGTCCAGGATGGTTTTACTCTCTGAACTGTGTAAAATACACGAATGTATGTTCACATGGTTTCCAGGTTGCACGGTTACCCTGTACTGGTTATGTTTAGCAACACCCGTTTTTACAGATAGAGATATTAGACTCAGAACCTTGACTCAGGCAGGATAATAGAACGAAAAATCCTCGTTCTGGCTTTTCAGGTTTGCTTTCTACAGCTAGAATGGCTGGAGGACTCAAGCTCTTTGAGCATGTGCTCGAGTCTGTTTATTATAGCTGAAGTTTGTGTGCATGCCCTTTCACCACTCAGTAGAATCTGCATCACCCCTGGAGAGGCCCAGCATGTCCCCTGGACTCCTCTGTACCCTCTCCTGGCATTAGGCGCTCAAACAGTCAGTGGGAGAGCTGAGGGCTGGTGGCACTGAGGACGTAAGAAAGCGTGGCCTTTCGTAGGCTGAGCATCCCTAACCATGGAAATCTGAAGCTTTTGGGGCACCATGTAGATGTCCCACATAGCAGCTACCACACATGGCCTCATGGGATAGGCTGTAAAGTGCAGGTGTGCTGGAAATGATGCCTGACTGCTTGCAGCAAGTGCGCAGGAAACAGAAGTGAACACATGTTGACCTGGGTCCTGTCCTTGAGATATCATCATGAGTATTTCAGAGCATGTCAAACTCTCTTCATCACACGCGTTTCAGATAAGAGATACAAAGCTGTGCTCACCTTACCCTTCAACTTCTAGAATGCCTTGAAAGCCCCACACCAATGATCCTGGTGATACAGGGCTCTCGGACATGAGCTTCAAACAGCTCAGGTGAGAGCTGGGGTGAGCCCCTGAGAGGCATGATGGCTCAGGCTGGGGATGTGGCCCCGAGGCTCCTTCCCACATGTGGTTTGGTGTTCCGGGTGACGTGGTGGCAGCATCCCACTCAGGGGGTGGCTGGCAGACTCATGATGAGGTCTAATTTTTGGTGGGGGTGGCAGTTCACTAACTCCTGTCTCCCCACTTGCCAATTACGCGTTTCTTCTCTGGAAACCTCCGTTTCCCCTCCAAGGGACTCTGCAGGCTTTGAGAGTTGGCTGTGTGTTTCAGAGCAGCCACCAGGGAGATGGCACTTAACTACCCAAATACCATCTCTTGCCGACTGTCAAGTGCACTGCTTAGAAGAATCATGGCTTGGAGTTTAAGCGCGTTCCTCCACACCACCCCTGGCTTACGACCTCTAACAATTTGTTTTTCCTCTCCATTTTCAATTTTTAAAATCTGTTATGGAGCACTGAGCGAGGGCTTGGTTTCAACAGACTGTGGCAGGAACTAGAAATGGTTCTAGAACTGTGTAGTTCAGCAGGTAGAGGGCTTGCCTAGCATGTGTAAGCCTCTGTGTTTGGTTCCCAGTACTGTGTAGCCTGGGCATGGTGTCCCACACCTGTGATCCCAGTACCAGAGGTAGCAAGGTCAGATATCTTCTGTCACCCTCAGCTACGTACTGAGTTCAAGGACCCGGCCTGGGGTATATGAGACCCCAGTCTCTACAGAACAGCAAAACATCTGAGACCTTTGAAAGTTACCCTGAACCCTGTGTCAGAACAGCAATGATTTAAATAGTTTTTCAGATAAAAAGACTTTAATGCTTAAAAATATCAAATCCAAACAAATGAATTCTTACTAAAATCAAACATCATAGAGTTGTACAGAGTAACAAGACCCCCCCTTCCTTTCTCCCCTCTAATCCCTGCTGGTTGGTTTGATGTGTTTCCTTCTAGTAATGTTTCTCCTTTCTCTGTGGACTGGGAGGCACGTAGACCTTCACATTTCCTTACGCTTTAATATAAGTAAAGTCATCGTGGAATCCCAGACACGTGACTCCAGTTTTCACTCCCCCCGTCCCAGTATGAAATCTTGGAGTTGTGTGCCAGGACACACAGCACAGCAGACTCGTGTGGCTCACTGTGTGATGTTTGGCAGTTAGTGTCACCAGAATCCACACAATTTCCTCAGTAGTTTTTGTTTGTGCAGAGTGAACTTTTGGGCACGTGTCTAAGTATTTATCTTGGACAACTGTGGAAACATGTTGGAGAGCTGGATGGGAGCCATTAAATTTGAATGAGAAAAGGCCTTTGGATTGGTGTCATTTTGGGGTAGAAAGCTCTGGGGGTCATGTGAAGGGGACCCTGGGGTCCACAAGTGCACGTTTGAGGTTGCCATCAGTCAGCCCTTGAACCTGCTGAGCTCTGCTCAGCTTCCCTGCAGCCTGACAGAGCCCTCTGTGCCTGGCTGGCTGAGAATGGCTTCTGCTTGCTGGCTGAGCTGGTGTTTGGGAGGCTGCTGGGGTGTTAGCTCACAGTGGCGTGGGAGCACGGGGTGGCAGCTCCCCACTCCCTTGAGCTCAGAGCATCCTGAGTCAACCTCCCCACCTGCAGTGGGTGTGTGTGAGAGAGAGTTGTTCCCCCGTGAAAGGCAGGCCTTCTCTGGCTAATGACCTTGACCTAGGACCTGCTCTAGCTCCCTGACCCCGACTCCTCAGGATCCTTTGATTCCCCCACCAGGCTGTCCTCATGTCCTCTAAGTTCTTTTGCCTTCTTTGCACCTGTGGGTGCCTGGCTCCCTCAGCTGGCATACTTTCTTGGACTAACCTCTCTAACTCTTCAGGCTCCCAAGGAGAGCTAGCTTCAGGCCTCTGGGCTCCCTTGCCATCACTAGCACAGAAACCCTCCCTATACCTTGTTGTTTCCTGTAAGGCAGCAGAGAGCCAGGGACTGCGGTTCATCCTCCTGAGATCTCAGCTCTACCACTGACTACTCATATTGGGGACGGTCACCGAACTTTCCTAGACCTCAGGTTCCTCACTTGAGCGTGTTAATACACCATGTAATGTCGGGGGGCTGACTTGAGTTGGTAGATGCTGAAGAGGCATGGTAAGAAGTGGGGAAGTGGCAGAAGCTGTTATCTCTGCAGTATCTATTATTCCCCATTTGTGTGAGCTCTCCTTATTATATATTCTGACTCTCACCTTCATGACTATTTATCAGGTACCGTGTACCAGGCGGGCTGCTTTGCGTATGCCATCTTGCCTAATCCTCACAGCGGCTCTCTGAAGCTGGGATAGTGAAACCCTATTTTGGAAAAGTAACTTGGGGTTTCATTTGCATATCATGAGATCTGCCCATTTTTTAAGTGTTCAGGGGTTTTTCCACAAAGCCCCAGAGCTGTGTGCCCATCTTCACAGTCTGGTTTTAGAACTAGCTCATCACCTCTTGCTACTGCGAAATCATACCCAGGCCCCACTCCCAGTCCTTGACTACCGTGAGTTTACCTCTGCCTTTTCTGGATGTTTCCTTCTTCTGACGTGTGGGATCTCTTGTGATCATCTTCCTTCATTCAGTGGAGAAGTTTGAGCTTGGCCAGGTTGTAGCGTATGTGAGCTCTTGCTTCCTTGTTCCAGCCTTACAGTGCTCCCTGTATGGATGTACCGCAGTGGTTTTTTAATCACCAAGGGCTGAACATGTGGATCTTTGCCATTTTTGGATTGCTGATCAATGCTGCTAAGAACAGGTGTTCAAGTCTTTATGTAGACATTTATCCATAGTTTTGTTTTTTTGTATAGCTACCCAGAAGTGGGGTTGCTGGGTCACATGGTATATTTCTATGTAACTTATTAAGAAATAGATTGATGGTTTTCTAAGGGTTTCAGAGCAGGCAGGGCCACCATG